TATCAGTCATTTGAGCTCTAACTGTAACTTGCACTACAGTGTTTAGTTTGATACTGAATTTTTCATGTCAAAGTCTGTCTTTTAAACTTAGTTTTAGCAAGTTTTTAGCCCAGCTTAAACCTGAATACATTCTGCTTCCTACTAAAAGTGTAAACTTAAATCTGCTGCAGAGGTCACCTGGTATGAGACATTTTAAGCAGCAGCACATTTTGGGTGGGTGTTTTTGTTTGTTTGAATGAGCTTTCAAGGGTTAGAGAGCAAAACCTTCTTGTATCATCCTGTGGCCAACATAGAGTGCATGACAAGTAAATCATGCTGCAGGAGCTGGTGTGAACAAGCAGTCCAAAGCATTTGAAATAGCCTGTAGATAGCAGCAGAGTAAAATAATTAATGTCAGAGTATGTGTTAACTAGTGTAGTGGTGTAGATAAGAAAAAAAAAGTACATAGTACTGTGGGGTGCAAGCTGCCAAAAGCATATTGCTCATCTCAGCTGTGCTGAGAGATGCTCAAGGATACCTTTTTATCCCCAGCTGTCTTTGGGCCCCCAGACAGGTCTCTATCAGTTGGGGACTGCACAAGCCCTCATGGTCCTATTAGCAGGGAGGAGGTGGAATAAGCTGTTGCACATCATCTGTTCTCCAAGGGAAGCCCTTCTGGGGATTTCCCTCCCATAGCACCTATTTGCTGCCAGACCTGTACAGAGATAGTTCATTAACCAACCACCTGAGCTCATGTCTCCAGCCACAGATGTAGAAAGGGCTCAATCTAAAAATGAAATTCTGGTTGAAAAAAGCTGTTTAGGAACCAGAGAGCTACAACTTAGCCGCACACTCAAATAAAGCCAAGGTTTGCTCTGACTGTAGATGAGCGTAGAAAAAGCTGAGTCTGGGTATTTGAGCGTTCTAAGTTGATCTGGCTGCTGGAACAAGTACAAGTGCCTCTTGGAGGTTCTGTTTTCTAGGGAAAAAAAAAAAGCAGCACCTCTTAAATAAAGACAGCTGAATGGCTCTGACAAGGTTACTGAAGATGACTGAAGCTTTGCTGTTTATAACTGGAATGTAGATTGTACGATCGAGGAGGATGTTTTCTGGTGTGAAACTTGAAATGATGTTAATATGTACTCAATGTAACTTCCTTCCAAAACGCTCTGCCATCAGTCTTGCCGATAGGCAGTTACATTTTTGTGTTCTTTTAAATGCCTTTAAAACACCTTTTTGAAAGTTTATTTTGGTTTCAAGTTTTATATTTAATACTCTATTGCCACTATATAAAATTAAAAGCTGTTAAAACAAACATTCTGTTATGTGATTTGTGGCACTCTACAAATGATAACAGATAGCAGCCACCATAAAGTAGAGTTTACTACCTGTTACAGTGACTATAAATCAATGTATTGATAACTTACTTTGTCTCCTTCAGGACTGGACCTTGCTGTGCAGCAATAGTTGTAGAACAGCACCGTGCTTGTTAATTGGGGTACTCTTGGATTAAAAAAAAAAAAAAAAAAAAAAAAAATCAGGAACCAGTGAGGAGTTTATGCCTCACCACAGAAGTAACAGGAAGGTACTTGTTTACCAGTCTCTCCAGCCCCTGGTACGCTGGGTTCCCCTGACAGTCCCTTGTTGTGGCACCACCGTCCCCCTCCCAAAGGGTCTCAGCTTCAGAACAGCTGGCCCAGAAAACCTCTGCTGAAGTTGTCATCTTCTTTCAGAGTAAAAACCTCTGTTGAAAGTGTTTCAATTTATATCATTTTAAGGGTCAGAGTTTAAATGAAGTGACTCATTCCAATTAAGTCATTAACATGTAAAATTTAGGGTATCACTTCACCTATTAAACCAGGCTGAAACATGGGGAAAAACACACCACAGTAAACATTTTCAGTTTGAACTGCTGATGTGAGGTGCAGGTATCCAGCACCCCAGAAATACAAAAACACGTGGCAAGCCGTATTAGTGATGTGAAACTATGGTAAAATAAATGTCATCTGCACAACAAAATAAAATCACAAAGCCGCCTTCAAATAATTTCATACTTTTCTGTAACTTAATTTGTATCTTTCTACTTGAAATTTTTTACATACACAATGCCACTGCCCACAGAAAAACATCTCAAGCAGAAGTGCTCAAACTCAGGACACTCACGCACACTGGGCAGAGACCTTAGACGTCACCTAAGGCCTGTTTGTATCTGCCTGGGTTTGTGAGTGAATAGTGTGGCCCACCAGGAGCAGAACTGTAGATTAAAACACTTTATGTTGGGGACCTGGCCTCCATCACGTAACACGTTTCTGGGCTCAGGTGGGCTGACTGGCTGTTCGCAGTTGGCACATATACGCTCTCAGCTCTCACATGAAAAGCTTAAGCTGCAGGAATGTTGAAGTTCAATGCAGAAGGCATTTCTAGACAGCATGTTCAAGAAAAGGCATGAATATTTTTTTTTAAACAGTCAAATGTCAGAAGCTTCAACATACACTAAGAGATGGGATTAGAACCAGACTTTCTAAATCCAGTCTGGTAGGAAAAGACAGAATCCCCCTTCTGATGCCTTAGAACAAAACTACTCATGTTTTACTCCAGCACCTTAACAAGCTGTACTGGTTCCTATCAGAGCAGATGACAGCAAGACTGCACAATGCTAAATAATCACAGGTTGCTTATAAATATTATATTGAAATATTGCCTATATACATATTTGTAAGTTAATAAAAATTACATATTACAATATGCTTATAAATAGCCTGTAACAAGTAGCAAAATTTATATTGCTGTTGAGGCCCCGTCTTTAAACCAAGTCACATTTTAAAAAAAGAAGACATTATCAGATACTGATTTTAGTGGCTGTTTTGAAAATAGCTGCAGGCTTAGAATATGCTTTATTCAAAAGTGTCGAAAAGGAATTAATACTTTTCCACACTTAAGCATATGAATCTGTATGGGCTATAAGGAAACATAGCTGCAGTCTCTCTGTAGTAAGTTACTCGTACACAGCCATTACCTCTTTGTCCTGACAGCTCCAAACACCACCGGTATTCACCCTTTCAAAGACAACCTGTTAAAATAAGGCTGTTACTGCACGTTATGATATTGATCCTTCTCTGTTGAAGTCAGACAACAGCAAGAACTTGCACTGACAGCAAAGGAAGGAAGTTCACGCAGGTTCAAAAAAATGGTTTCATTATAAATTTATTTCCTTAAACACGGCCACTTTCAGATTAATGATACTACTTCAGGGAACATGAGAGAATAATAAACAATTTTAGAAGGGAAACAATCAGGTAAGTCAGGATTTGCTTTTCAAACATTAAAAGGCCAAGCTCCAAGAGGCAATAAATTTTGGCATATGAGGACTAGTATTTTCAAATCCCAAAAGTTGGCTTAGTTTTACAGTGGAAGCTGCCTGCAACCTTAGCTATCTTTCCATAACGCTGGACTCAGTCGTAACTTAAATGTACAGGAGCATAATGTGAAAATTTTTTTTTATTAATTAAAAGTTAACAGCAACAGGCACATATTAAAATGAATATGGCAAAGCCTTTACAAATGGCTTTACGATGAAGCTCTCTCCCAAAAATGGCTGTTGCAACAAACTGTAAACAGAATTAATAAACAGTCTTTTACAATAATAACAGGGAAATACAAATGAACTGAAAGAAAGCACCAGTTTCTCAAACTAGATTACAGTTGTGCTTACTGTACTTAAAACAATGTAAAACAAATTACAAAAATGGAATGTTTTAAGTTTAAAATTAGTCCTTTAATTTTGTCCTAAAAAACATTTTCTCCTTTTCCCATCAAAAACCCATTAGTGGGTAATGTTTCAGTAGAGGGAGGACGTAAACAATGCACGTTTTTTTTAATTATTTTTTTTCAAATCAAAAACAAATTTGGTCACTTAGCTTTGTGCATAGTTTAAGGCATCTGTAGCAATTTGTTACAGTTTCCTCCCCGATGTGGCTGTTCATGAAATTGTCATATTCTAAAAGAATAAATTAAAAAAAAAAAATGTTGCCGTTCAAACCCTTCCCTGTCCCCTCCCACCCTCCCCCATCCCACACATACTCACACACCCA